TAAATTAGCCTGGATAAATTCCCTCCTTTCCCAAAAGGATTTCCTATTGTAAACATATGTGCTATCACAAACAAGGCATTTTGAAAAACCATCCTTCCCTTCTACAGATAGATGAGTTTTGTACAGAACATAATCAGCGGAAGAATAACCTCAAAGGTGTTTTGCTCTTTTTCATGTTAAGGAAATCAAAATTCTTCTACTCCCCGCTTTTATAAGTTAATAGTAAAAGACACAGCCTTACAAAATACTTATAAGTCTTTGCTTTCAGACACATTATTTTGAATATACGAACTATGGTTCTGACACATCTTTGTAGGTGGCAAAACCACATTTTATAGCATGTTTTACATGCTCTTAACCGACAAAAGTCTCCACCAACAGGAGCTGCTTTCTAGTCTGAAAAGCTATTGAGCAACAATGACTTTTTCTTTGCTAATTGCCTAACAGAACTAATTGCCAGGCCTAGAAAACAAGATGCAATCTGTTCTAAATGGAATGGCATGTATGAGAATAATGTTGATGTTATGGTTAGAGGAACATTTCTTTCTACAGGAACTCGACATTCTAAACATTTTCCCCTTTATTAAAAAAGCACTTTCTTAGTTTAATGTTTATGAGGCATAAAATGTTCTAGAGAGGCACAGTGTATCCAAACTATCTTCTAACACATTCCATCCAAATAAAAATACAACAAACCATTGTGCAGGACTGTTTGAAGAATAAATAAAAATTCTTCCGCGTACTTTCTTTCACCACAGTTCCACTCAACTGCTTGTGGGGAAATCTGAACACTAGCTGGGAGCTTCTGTCTATAAGTACTATTGGTGTGTCAAAAGCTTTTCCTTCCCTAACTAAACTTATCTTTAAATTACATTCAGATTTCTGTGGTACCATAATAATTTCAATATGGGATGTATTTCAATATTTTGCTAAAGGTTTCTTTTCTATTTCCACTCCTAGTTATTTCAGGTTTAGGGGTTTTTTTCATCCCAGCCTCCATGAAGGACATACTACCCCCCCAATATTCACATGTGAGGTCTTGCAACTTAATAGGGATTATTCTGAACTTCTGTATCTGCAACATCAAGAAATGTATTAAAATGATGTCTTTTAAGATATGTAGCAGATTTTTTTATGGTGCATCAGAAAATGTGTCAAATCAAGGTAGTAATTTGAGACTTAATGGACCAATAAGAGGGCATCACAAAACAGAATGGTTTTAGTTTCCAAGGGACTTGGGAACTTCAAATACATGTACATCCCTGCACTTCAAGTTTCAGAGCCAAATAAAAAAAAACAAAAACACCCCTTAACATCTCTTTACTCTTTAACATCTTCATCAATGATCTGGATTCAGGAGTTAGATATGAACTGGCCAAGTTCACGAATGATACCAAATTATGGGGGAGGGCAGTCACACCACAGGACAGGCTGGGGGTACAGAGCTGTGGCAAGGCACTGTTGATGCCTGCCACTTTAAGGGCCGAGCCAAGCAGTAAGCAGGTGTTTGATTGCAGTGGCCATTTTAGATCCCGGGCTGACTATATAAACAGGGCAGTTTGCCGCTGGCAGTGCAGGCACTAACATTGCCTGGCTGCAAGGCTGCATGTGACATCCTGGAGGTAAGGGCAGGAGCTGTAGGGGATGGTCTGGAGGCTCCTGGTCCTGGGCATGACCTAAAACTGCACCCTGCCGGGAGTGGGTGGGCTGGGGGAGCTCTCAGTGGCACGGGAGCCCCCAGGAAATGCCAGGCCAGTTACCACCCTGGTGAAAGGTGAGTAGGGGTGCCTTAACCCCAGCCTTCACCTTTGGGTGGGCCAAAGACCAACAGAGCAGGGTAGGCCAGGTAAGCTTCTGGAGGCGCCTGAGCCTCCTGCGGGGAGCAACCCTGCAGGGCCAGGCACGCTTCCAGGAGCACCTGAGCCAGGAATGGGGGGACCCCAATCCCTAAGTGCAGGCAGGAGGCGAAAACCCAACTGAGGCACTCTACTGGTCAATGCTGGGGCCAGGACCAAAAGGGTCAAAAGGGCCAGGGACCCACCACGAGGGATGCCCATGATGACCAAAGAAGCTCGGGGTCCCGACTGGCCTGAGATGGGGCCAGGGCTTACGGAAGCCGAAGGTCCCATGATTGGGGGCCACAGCTCATGGGCGAAGGGGACAGTTGAGCCAACTGCCTGAGATGCCATCTGCGAGGCTTGGGCCAAAGTGTAGGGGTGGAACAGAGCCACGGATAGCCCCCCCCCCCCCCAATATCAGGGTGTACAATGGGCAGCCTCCCACCTTAATTAACAACCTAATTAATTACCAACAAGGCGTTGCGGGCAATACAGGTGGGTGGTATGCCCAGAGGCAGGTGGGGAAACTAGCTCTGCGGCTAGTCAGGGGCCCCACTTTGCCACAAGGGCGACTTGGACACACTCTTAAGGTGGGCCAACCAAAACCTGATAGCCTTCGATCCAGAGAAGTGCAAGATGCTGCACCTCAGTAGGAAGAACCCTCAGCATACTTACAGGCTTGGCAGTGCTACACTCAGCACCATGACTGAAAGGGACTTGGGGGTCTTGATTGACCACAAGATGTGTATGAGCCACCAATATGATGCTGTGGCTGGCAAAGCTAACCAAACTCTCGTGCATCCACCGATGCATCTCAAGCAAAACCAGGGAAGTCACCCTCCTGCTTTACTCAACCCTGGTGAGACTGCAGCTGGAGTACTGCATCCAATATTGGGACCCCCCTTTCAGGAAGGATGTGGAGAAGCTTGAGAGTCCAGAGGAGAGCCTCTAGTATGATCCAAGACCTGGAGGGAAGGCCATACGAGGAGAGGCTGAGGGATTTGGGACTTGTCAGTTTGGAGAAGAGAAGGCTCAGGGGGTACTTGGTGGCAGCCTACAATTACATAAGAGGGGTACATCAGAACTTGGGAGAACACTTGTTCACCAGAGGTCCACAAGGGATAACAAGGTGTAATGGCCATAAACTCCAGGAAGGCCAGTTTAGACTGGATATAAGAAAAAAGTTCTTTACAGTGCATGTGTCCAGGGTCTGGAACAAACTCCCCACAGAGGTGGTGCAAGCACCTACTCTGGACTCCTTCAAAAAACAGGTGGATATATTTCTTGCTGGGGTCACTTGATCCCAGCTGACTTCCCACCTATGGCGGGGGAGCTGGACCAGATGATCTCCTGACATCCCTTCCAGCCCCTAATGTCTATGAAATCTAAGAAAAACCCCCAAAAACAAATCTTGGACAAAATGTTTTGTCTTACCTGGCTTTGGTCAAAGCCATGGAAAAGCAGTTTCTCCAGTTTTCTAACTGAAATCATGGACTTCTCTAGGTTCTCCTGGAATCTAGCATAAGCTTGCTAATGTATTTATGGACCAGCCCTGAGTATGAGATTCATGATGCAACCCAAAACATGGATTCAGTATATACTGCAATAGTTTGACACAGATTTAATATAAGACTTTATGAACATGTATGTCCTACAATATATTTTAAAGGTCAGATAGCTTAGATTCTTTTTAAAAGAAATGCGGGCCAAGCGATGATCTTCAAGCGATCATTTGAGATATAGGAATATTCCCCCTCTCATTGTAAACACTTGTTTCTAAGCACTTTCCTTTAGAACCTGAGGAAATCTAGGCCAGAAACCAATCTGAAGGTCATTGCTATTTGCTTCATTAAAATACTGGTATAACTCCAGTGATGAATTATCATATGCTTCTGGTCCACTTCTGGGTCTGCTGCCAAGCACACTGGGGAGGCCCCATGCTCCTGTGGGATGCTCCATCTGCCCCAGCATCACAGAATTCATGAGTCACCAGGGACCTTGAGGTATGTAGAAAAAACATTTAAAGCTATGTCTATGTCTGAATCATCAAATCTCTCCAAACTGATTTGGAGGGTTCTGATTCGATTTGGAGAGATTAAAGGGTCTCCTGATTTAATTTGGATATTTGGCCACTGAATCATGCTGAATCTCCACTAAATTGAATCACGGACTAAAGATTCGCACAGCCCTAGTACTTGTCTGCCTGAAACACCTACAAGAACACGGATCAGACCCAGATTAACAACATCAACACATTGCACAAAATCATCTATTTCATCCTCACCCACAACAACCTTACTGTCAACAGCTGTCACTTCATCCAAACAATGAGCATGACTGTGGCACAAAGATGGCCTCCCAATGTGCCAACCTCTTCTGACCCAGCTTGAAGAAAAATTTGTAGGAAACTGCCATCAAACATGCATTATACCTGAGCTACGTAGATGATATTTTCATCATCTGGATCAAACACCTAGGCTTGCTTATGGACTTCTATCGCAGATAACCCATTGCCACCCTTCTATCAAATTATGTCTGGAATATTCTTACACTAACATCAACTTTCTAGATATAACGATCCATATTTGGGGTGGCACCCTACAAACCACTATATACAGATAACCCATGAACCACCAGTTACATCCACAAAACCAGCAACTATTCCAGACACACCAAATAGATGTAATCTAGTCAGGCCCACAGATACAACAGTACTGGCTCTGAGGATAATACCTGCGACACCTACTTCACCAGCCTGAAAACTGCTTTTACCCGGCAAGGACATTTCAGCCAAGAAACAAGTTTGCATCTTTCAACAAGCCATACAATAACTTACTGATACCAAAAGAAGAACCCCATGGCTAGATCTAGCCCAGAGAGCCACTTCATTTGAGCCACCAGGCTACCAGAAGTAAGGTAGCATGGCGTGCTGCAGAATCCAGAGCCCCTGAGCTCTAGTGGACGTGGTCAGAAGGTAAAACAGGGGTACCACTGCTTTGTTTGTCCTGCAGCTGCCAGTCTCAATGCCGTCTCCACTGGCACTGCATGTAATATAACCCCTTAAAATGGCCTTTTTACAGAATACACGGGGAAAACCATGTTAGTTTAAAGAGTTAATACTCTTCCAAATGTCCAAGGTAAGTAAATTTTACAGATCCTTACCAGCTCTTGAGTATCCTGCATTAATGGCAAAAATGTAGATTCCAAAATAGCAATTTGGTCAGGGCTGAGTTTCTGCCACAGACTAATCAACATAATCACCAGATGGGTGGCACTCTTCAACTTTACGAATGCCTGGAACATATTGGCTTGGTTTTCTTCTGCAGCATCTGCTAAAGCTATTACCTGCAAGAATTACAAACTTCTGTTAGGTATAATTTTACCATACTTGTGCACACAACACTAAAATTGCATTTGGCACACTTTTGTTTTTCTTTAGAAAATCCTGATGAACTCTGTCTTCCATAAACACAAACCACAGAGAGTATTAAATGAGTTATCATTTGTCTGAATTTTTCTTTTGTGCATTCAAGGTAATTTAAAATCCGTATGGTAGTAGGATTAATCTATTACAATCAGTGTAAAGAGGTTTCTATTTAATGCATATTCTATGATAAGGCATTCCCCAGGTTGAGCCCCATCATATAATGTAACACAATATTCCCTCACAAACTGTAAACATTCAGGTTTATACCACACATGATGCTAATCCCTGTATGACCAGCAGCCCTGAAGGACTCATCAAAAGTACTAGACATATTTTATCTCTTTTAAAACAGTTATTTTTAGTTATTTCAGTTAAAGCTGTTATTTTCAGTTATTTCTACATGAAAATAATTACTGCCTTATTATTTTGGTAGGGGGGTGTGTGTGTCTGCATAGTTTGTACCAGTTACTTCAACACTGCACCAATAATGTAGATGTTCTGGCATGTGACCGGTTGATACCATTTTAACATAAGTGGCAGACATGGGACCACACAGATCTTGAAAAGAAAATTCATTTTGTGTTTGCTTGAAATGGTAGCTTAATTTCCTGTAAGCTGGTACGATATTTTATCCTTGTCAGTACTTAGGTAAAAAAAAAAACAAAACCGGAAGCACTGGAAAGAGAACCTGAAAGTACTAAATGTTATTTTATTTATTTTAGATGTGTTACATTAATATAGATACTATTACCTACCTCCTATACATAAAAACATAGAATTACCTTGCAGAATTGCAAGAAAAAACATTATTTGACTTAAGGGGAAGTTATTAAGGGATGTACCCAAATTGTCAGTTTTTTTTTATATAAAATACTGAAACATCTACTAGTCATTATGAACTAGCAATATAGCTTCCCGTTTTGTTTTCTATATACCAGGAACAGATTCTTCCATGCTGTCCACACTAAATGAGTTTTATCTTAAAAATCAGTAGTACCTGGTGGCTTAAAATTGGGCATTTAACCAGAACTTCCCCTGGTCGCCTCTCTGCCAGTAACTCTATGTACTGCCTATTCAAAGCTTGATTTGCAGAAGTTCTGATCATCTGTAGCTACCATTTATATCAACACAAAGCACCACCCTTAACTTCTTTTACCTTGATTTACTCATGTGTAAAATAGGAACATCACCACTATTAAGGAGGACAGGGGTTGGCAAACTTTTAGGAGTAATGGGCTGAATTAACAGAGTTCAGTCAAAAGATGGGGTTTGCAGGCTGTATTACATTGCCTGGCAGGCCAGATTTGACCCAGGGGCCATAGGTTGCCAACCCCTGAAGTACATACTATTAAGTCTTGATTTTATAGACTACTGTATGACACTTATGTGAAAGTCGTATATAATTAGTATAAAAAATAATTTACTATGTAAAGCAAAGGTATGTCAGCTTATTACAGCTCAGCAATCTCTTTAAAAAGGCAAAAATACTATGCGTCTTCACCCTAGAAACAAAGCCAACCAGCTGTTAGCATTTGTTTAAGGAAGCCTATTTTTAAAGTGCAACACTGGCACTAGAGAGGTGTGTTCCCTCCAGATTCCCATGTGCCCAGAAACAAACACAGAGACTTCGAGGAAACAATACATATGAAGTATTTCAAACAAAATGTGTTGATAGCTTTTTTGTTTTACATTTTAGGATTTAAGGTTTTCAAGTAAAAAGGGAACTTAAAGGGTCTCTCTTGAGTCCAAACACTGTATCAACTAAAGCCAAATAGTGAAGCAGAGGCCCACTTAGCTGCACTAAGGAAAAAAGTCCAAGTCATAAAAGGTAGTGTGAAATTAATCCTAAAAAGTGAGAGCTGCCAAACTACGCTCTAAAATTAGTTACAGAAAAGCAGCAGCATTGTAGATATGAATTATATGATGTCAACATGGTCACATAGTTCCTTTACCTTAATAAAGTGGCACTGTTCATGTTGCATATTACATACAGTACAGCCATGACATAGTTGCTAGCCTACAGCAAAAAAATGGGGCAAAAACCATAACAGCATTAGGTCCAGCTCAAATAATTACATGTTCCCTTTGGAAAAAGTCCACTAAGCAAAAGTTAAAAACTGGACAACGGCAAAAGGAATCTGAGAAGCTCCAATAGCTCAGCAGGCCACTTTTAAGAACAGGACATTAATTTTAATGCCTTACCCCTCATCACCAAAGTTTTAGGGTTGCCACCATGCCAGAACTTTCATAACAGTTCTAGCTGCAGCCTCTTTAAGACAAAAAATCTATACATAAACCTCTCTACAGATGACTAGTTTTCCAGCCCAGATTCTACCAGGAAGTAGCTGAAAATGAGAAGAGTCTGCTTATTCCATCTTAGATCCTAATAAGACAATGGACATACTGGGGAAAAAAATAGTGTTTTGTTCAGAAAAAAGATTTAAGATACAGGCTGTCTCATTTCCATATACAACACAAAACCAATGCCAAGACCTACATCCTCTTTCATTGTTACATTACATACACATACATAGAAACATGGAGGTGATTTATGTGATAAATACAACACTATAATAAACAGGATCTGTTATGCACTGAGGACCATATCACCCCAATCTCGTGCGAATAGGTGACTGTCCAATCTGAGAGGACATAGAGGACAACTTGTAGAAAACTGTCCTTCCTCCCCAAGGAGTCTTTCATAGGGACATCACAGCTGTCAAATAAGTCATCTTTCCTGTACAATGTGTTTTGGGGAATCTTGGGAGGATACATTTATTTATGTATTTGTTTATTTATTCACTCAATTTATATGCCACCCTTCCAAACAATGGCTCAGGGCAATTTAGAACAAAACAGAAAACATTAAAAACAAGAAGTGACAAGATGGCTACAGCAATTTAAAAGGGAACGATGTAGCAGGGAGCCAGAGGGGATGCCACAGAAGGCTAAGCTTGCTGTGTGGGGATGGCAGCTGGGCAAAGGCTAGCTACTAGGAAGCAAGCAGGCCAGTGACAACAGGGGTAGATGCTACCAGGCACTGACTATCCTGGAGCTAACTGTGCTGCAGTAAGCAACCCAGGGGAGACCTCTAAGTAGCACAGGAGTAAAGGATGCAAGCAACTGGGTGAAACTTCAGCAAAGGAGGGCAAGCTGGCCACCAATCCAAAGCGGAAACCCCAGTATGTCGCTGCAGAGCCACTTGACAGGAAGGGGTGGGGTTCTGGGGAACATAAGACCAATGCCTGAGACCAAGCAGGCAGTCTGGCCCTGCAGTCTGCAAGGAGAGGACCTCCTGGAGGAGATGGCTGCAGGAGATGGATTGGCAGGCACCTGAGCTATTCCATAGCTGGAAGGAGAGAACTAAGGGGGCTTATGGCAAAGATCCAGAGTGAGGCAGATTTTAGTTTTTAGGTTTAGGACAGCAGTTTCCTGGTATTTATACTAGGATTAAATTAGAAACTGCAGGACTTGGTGGTGGCTGTAGGGGAGGACAACAGCCACAGAGGGGTGGGACACTGGGACAGGCTGCTTCCACTGTACCAGCCCTCGGCCATCTGAGTCCAGGGAAAAGCTAAGTCCCGTGGAAGCAGCCTGGCCTGGATCCAGAGGGCTGATACAGAGGAAGCAGCCAGGCCTGCAATCAAGGATGCAGAGGGCCTGCAGTCAGGGATTCAGACCGGCAGGGCCAGAGGAAGAGCTTAAAGTAACATCTGCGAAGCATGGGCACAGACATGGCTACAGGGAAGAATGGAGGCCTCAGGGTGTTGAGGAAGCTAGCAGGGGTTATTGCTGGGCTCTTGGCCCAGCTTTATGAGCGCTCGTGGTGCTCAGGCCAGGTGCCAGATGATTGGAAGATAGCCAATGTGGTCCCCATCTTTAAAAAAGGGAGGAGGGAGGACCCGGGCAACTATAGGCCCTTCAGTCTTACCTCAATCCTGGGGAAACTCTTTGAGAAGATCATCAAGGAGCACATCTGTGATGGGCCGGCATCGGGGATGATGCTCAAGGGCAACAAGCATGGTTTCATTAGGGGCAGGTCATGTCAGACCAACCTGATTGCCTTTTA